GTGTCTCTGTCTATCTCTGTCTCTTTCTGCTTGTGTCTTTGTCTGTCTCCCTCTCATTCATCACTCACATTAAGGGAAGCAATGTCATGAGCAGGATTATGGAGAAGTCCCTATGGGAAGAACAAAACCCTTACAACCAACCGCCAAGGGAGGGAGCCTGGACTCTGCAGCTCCAGTTGCCTTCAATCTACAGTCTTTACCAAGCCAAAGCCACCTGGCTAAGCTACTCCCACACTCCTGACCCTCAGACACTGTGAGGAAATGCATATTTGTTGTTTTAGTTTTAAGTCTGGAGTAATTTGTTACACAGCAATGGATAACAAATGCATACAGCTTGACTTTCTCTCCCCAACCAATTCCTACTTGTTCTTTGTGTCTTGGCTTAGATGCTTCCTCTCCTGGAAGCCTCTAACTTCCTGTCCCTATTCCTGGTGATTTAGCCTCAGTACCCTAGATGCCTTCCCTACCTGAAGAACCCACTTTTTTCCCATCTGAGTCTGTGCACGTACAGTGAGGCTGCCTTCCCCTCCCAGGCTCCAGGGGCTGGTGGTCAGTCTAGACCTGGCCAATCAGAGTGTCTGTTCTCCTGGAGCCACTGTTCAAAGGCTATGACCTAAGCCAGGCCTTGCAGGCCAGCCCAGGAGCCTTTGTAGGAACTATTAGGAAAGAGATTATCTTTATCTGTGGGGGTTGCTGGGTGGGAAAACGTGACTCTGGACTACATGTGTCTAGCACAGGGAGGTGGCCCACCTTGAGATGTGGCCTGAAGGAAGAGATGAACTGGAGAATAGGAAGGGACAGATGCCTGATGCAACTGTCGAGGCATCTGAATTCCGCCATTCCTGAAATGCACGTCTATCTCTGCTCCTTTTCTTTCTTTCATGCGATAGTGCTTTGAGCTGATTTCTGTCACCTTCAGCTGAAAGGGATCAGACCAACCATCCTGATGGCTGCAATTAGGTCCCACCCCAACCCCCAGACTCTGGCTTCTTGAACTTACTACACAAAACTGAGCCAGGCCCTAATACTTCTGCCTGATTTTTGCACCACACTTTTGCTTACCTCCTCTCCTGTTTCTTAAAATCAGAGCTACGTCATAGTTGTTTCTACATCCAGAGCATCTGCCACAAGGAGGTGGTTAGTGAATAACTGTCTATGAATCAGTGAATGTCTTCCAATTGGCCAGGAGACTTAATAGAGGGAGAAAGAGGAGTCACATCTTCAGAGACCTGCTTGTTAGGAGACCAGTGTTTCCAAGAACTCTCTGAGTTGGCAAAGGAGTATGATTTCGTAATCTCTCTTCATCCAGATCATGGCTAAGCTGGCCATGCCCATGGAACAGAAACCATCTCCCATTACACAAAAACAAATCTGACCCAGATTTTTCCTGCTTAAAACAACTTTCAGTGACATTTTTGGCAGGAGTGGGTAGCAGGGACGCTCAGGGATTCAGGGAATCTTCTATATTGTAGGACACTGTATCATGTCTTGATTAATTCATTAGGCCAGCTTTGATACCTACTATGTGCCAAGCACTAAGCACACTAAGTCATCCTCACAGCCAGCTTCTAGGTGGGATTGCTGCCTCTTACCACATCAGCAATTACCCTAAACTTAGAGGCTTAAAACAACACATATTTCCATCTCTCGGCATCCAGATGCAACTCTGCCGAGTGCCTCTGGGCCACAGTGTGCCTGAGGTCGAAGTCAAGCTGTCCAGCAGAGTTGTCCCTCCCACTTCCACGGGCAGCCAGATACAGTGGCTGTTGTCAGGCACAGCAGATACATTTGTAAGCTCCCTCATGCGGCTTCTCCTAGAGTGGCCTTGTCACACGGCAGCTAACTCCACTAGGCAGCGAGTTTAAGACAGGGTGTACAGAGAGAAGTCAGACTTTTGTAATCTTAGCAGCCATATGCCTATTAATTCACCACATTCTGCTCAATAGAAGCAAGTGAGTAAGTCCAGCCTGCACTCACCAGGAGGTCATTACGTGAGGGTACGAATACCAAGACATCAGGCGGTCTCTGAGGCTACCTGCCACAGGTAAGGGTTTTTTTTTGTTTGTTTTCTGGTACTAAGGATCGAACTTGTGACCTCACACTTATCAGGCAAGTGCTTGAGCTGCTGAGCTAAATCCCTGGCCCAGGTAGCCTTCATTCATATTCAGAACCCTGCTAATAAAGCAATTTGTCTAGGTCATTCAGCTAGAGAATTTTCTGAACAATATTTTCCTATTTTGCCAGGCTAGTTGGAATGAAATGAAGGAAAGCAGGTAGAAGATGTTGATAGGGAAAAAAAATAGATTCTATATTAGTTACCAACTGATATGCAACTGATTAACTCACAATTTTAGTAGTTTAGTGGCATACAATAAACATTTATTAACTTATAGTTTCTATGGGTCAGGAATTCAAAAGTAGCTGAGCTGGTCCAGCTCAAGGTCTCTCATAAGGATGCAGTAAGTTAGTGGGTCCAGGGCACATTTGGGGATTCAGTCTTGGCAGAGCATATGTGTCACAGATGGCTGTTTCATGTGGCTGATGGCCAGTGGCCTCAATGCCTCACCTCTACTAAAATCATGCTTAAGCACCCTTAGGACATGCCAGTTGGGTTTCTCCCATAACAAATGAGGCAAGAACACCTAAACAAAAGGCGTAATGTCTTTTGTGACCTAACTTCAGGAGTCATACATTAATGCTGCAATATCCTGTTGGTTACACAGGTCAGCCCTATTTACTGTGGGAGTTGTTTACCCAAGGGTCTGAGGATGCCCAGAGGTGAGGCACGCTGGAGGCAGGCCACTATGGAGTCTTTCAAGAATAATAATCCTTAAATTCAACTGTGACCACACCATTCCCTGGCTCAAAGGGGTCCAGAGTATTGCCATGCATGGCAGCACATGGCTCCATTTCCTACTATCTCTTAGAGGGATGGACCAGATGCTAACAGTCCCCACAGAGATCTCTGCTGGTGTGTCCACCCTGCTCCCATGCTGTCTGTTCTAAGGAAAAGCCTGCAACATGGACAGGTGTCACAAGCAGGCCCTGACTGGGTGTGAGGATATGAGGGTGGGCAGACACCTACACTCCCTCAGGGAGCTTCCACTGAAGGCAGGAAGTACGTACTAGCCAATTAACAATCTAATCACAAATTATGCCACATTCTCTCAAGGAAACCTATAGCAAGATCATATAACAGGGGACTGGCTTATTCCCCGTGCAGTGTTTTACCAGTTGAGTAATTAGCTAGGCTGGGTACTTAAACAATAGTATTAGCTGTAGGTTCAAGGATTAGTGAAAGTCCAAAATAACAGTAGTGTAAGGCAGATGTTAATTTCTCTCTTGACTAGATGTCTGGACAGGTGTGGTATCACTCAGTGACAGGGACTCAGAGCTCTTCTAGCTTGTCTTCAGTGTGGCTTCTCATGTCTTGGTCCTCCAATGTTGATATTACATTCTCTGCAGCCAGATGGAGAAATGAATACAGAGGAAAAAAGTACATATTTCTGAAGCCACCACAAGACACTTCCCGTTACATCTCCAAGTCACACAGCCACACTTCGCTGCAAGGGCAGCTGGGAAGCAGAGCTTTTATTCTGAGTACCCATAGGCACAGCCAAACACTGGGCACTTCAGCCCCATACAAAACCAGCCACACCCATCAATCCTACCTAGCACTTACTATGTGCCAGGTACTTGTTGCCTTTGGAGATCATGCCAAGTGCACATCTGATTCAATAGGTCAGGGCTGGGCATGAGAATCTGCCTTATGATGCCCAAGTAGCTGGTCTGTGGCCCCATTTTGGAAGGGGAAAATTGGGTTTCCAGTTCTGGACAGTGGAGATTGCAGGAGGTCGGAGGGAAGAATGATTAGTCAGCCTCAGTGCATGCTCCAGGTGTTTGTCCACTGGCCCCCGCCAACCACCCCTGCTGCACTGACCTCTTCCAGTCCTCACAGTGATATGAAAGGTATGAGGGTTCTATTTGTAGACAAAGAACCTGCCCACTGGACCTGCTCTTTGAATATGAGCCCCCACTTTCCTGCCTGGGTTTTTTTCGAGCCCTGTCACACAAGCTCAAAGAAGGGGCCAGTGACTGAACCTGGGAGAAGTTCAGAATGAGCTTTGCCTACACGGGTTTTCTGTTAACTGCTTTTCCCCCAACCTAGCAATCACAGAGGGAACTGCTCTCTGTTTTTGTATTTTTGAGGCACTGAAGTTGGGATAGAACAGTTGACGCTGCTGCCTCTGGCCGAGTCACAGTGCAGAGTCTACGTCTGGGCAGCCCTATGTATCCTGGACGGACATGAGAATCTGCCCTATGATGCCCAAGTAGCTGGTCTGTAGCCCACATTTTGGAAGGGGAAGATTGGGTTTCCAGTTCTGGACAGTGGGGATTGCAGGAGGTCAGAGGGAAGAAAGATCAGTCAGCCTCAGTGCATGCTCCAGTTGTTTGTCCACTGGCCCCCGCCAAGTGGGCACTCAAAGAGCATGGCTGGAAGGAACAAGTGAAAGACGTGAGCAGAGACAGTTTCCCGCCAACCACAACGGTGTCTGGCTGGCAGATGAGCCCTTACTATGCACAGTGTTTTCTCATTTGAGAAACACCTCTGTGAGCAGGTGTCTTTATCCTCTGTCCAGATGTGGAAGTGATTTTCCCAGAGAGGGACGCTAGGAGTGGGTGGGGTGTCCACCTTGCCAGTCCAGGCGGGCTGGACCTCCCCCTCATAGTATTAGGCCGCTACTCAGACCTGGACACTGTGCATGGCCCAAGCTGGGACCATAATTTCCTTTCACCTTCCAACAGTGAAACTGTTTTACAAATGCAAAATCAGGACTGTGAGAGGCAGAGGCCATTCCTAGCGAGAAAGAGAAGCCGAGGCTTAACAGAACGAACGCCAGGGTCTTTAGGGAAACCCTCCACACCGCGCCCCGCAGACCCTCCCCTCCGGGTGCAGCCCGCGAGCCCCTTTTAACGGGTAGCGGAAGGGGCGGTTGGGGGTGCGGCGGCGGCCAATGGGCTGCGTGGAGCGTCACTTCCCGGAGGCCGCAGGCGAGTGGCGAGTGGCTGGGGGCGGCGCGGGGGCGGGGCGTCCGAGCAGGCGTTGGCAGCGGGCTTGGACCCACGCGGCGTGCGGCCCCCCTGGCCTGCAGCGCTCCCACCCCGGCGGCGACGGCACGATGCCCTTTGACTTCAGGAGGTGAGTGTCGCGAGCCCTGTCACACGGAGCCCCTTCCACAGGCCAAAGGGATACCCGGCTCGCCGCGGACCCCGCCCCGCTACATGCCGCCGACGCAGCCCCCCAGCCTGGTGCACGTCTGGGGAGGCCTTTGGAGACCCGGCCTCACGCGAAGCAAGCCAGAGCCTCAGAGGCCCCAGGCGCGCAGCCAGAGACCAACCCACCCAACGGCGCTCTGCAGAGCCCCAGACACCTTGCGTTCCCTTGTTCCCTTCCCCCCTGCACGAGAAACATTTCTTCCAGATGGAACCAGCATCTCCTCCCTCCTGCGTCTCCTTTAGCGGACCCCACCTCTGCTGACAGGTGGGAACGAGGCACCCCGCCTGAGCGCTCTAAGGTGCGGGGCTGGCTGCTTCAGCCATCCAGGCAGCAGCTAGAGTCGTGCAGGATAACATAGCCCGAGGGACCCCCTGCCTTGGCAGCTCTGGAGCCAAGTGCTCCTTCCCTGCCCCTGGCCGTGGCGGTGTACTCTGAGCCTGGGGGCATTACGGAAAGGAGAGGAGGCTGGGAGCCTTGGGCAGGGCTCTGCAGAGAGGCCAGCAGGGTTTGGTCTTGGCTTTCTGCAGTCCCACAATGGGTCCTTTGTGGGGTCCAGCTGCCTCGTGGTCCACTGTGATGCGGGGCCAGGCGTTCTGCAGCTTGGCCGGGAGGGGGTCCCCACCAGACCTTCCCTTGAGGTATGGAGCTCCAAAGGAGATGCCCTTGGTTGAGGCTGGGAAAACTGAGCTTTGTAGGAGGAACTGGGATAGAACCTTGATTCAACTCCTTTCTTGCAGCAACTTGATGATACATTTTAGAAGTTAACTGTAAAGGTTTTAGGTTCAGACCTCTGCTCGCAGCTGGTTAACCCCAGTGGAGGCAGAGCCCTCTCGGTTTTACCGCTTGCAAATTGGTACTAAAAATAAGCTCCCACCTGCAAGGACCAAGTACATGAGATCCCTTAACTATGTTTGCATGGCTTGCAGCTGAGAAATAGGCATCACTGCATGAGGGGCCTCTCCATGAGACCTTCCACATCCATAAAATAGGGATTCTGCTGCACACATAACAGGAGGGGTGCCCCCCCCAGGAGTGAATGACAAGGTAAAATGACAAACAAATCGTAAACCCTGGCCTGCTGTGACCTTATGGCATAGAGGTATGCTGGAGTATAGGTGCAGACAGATGTCATCTGGAGACCTTGAACAGCTGACGTGTTCTTCCAGCCTATTCTGATCACTGATGCCATCTGGCAAATACTTGCTGGATCTCTGCTCCTTCCAGGCAGCCCTTAGGCTGGTACCAGGGTCTCTGAGACAAATGCAGACTGAGGGCAGTTGCTGATGGAATTCGGAGGCATTCCTGACACCAACAGTGAGTGCCCCACCGTAAGCACGTTGATTCCTGCTTCTACAGTCTCCCTTTCCCTGGTCTAACAATAGATTCCTGCCACCTCCTGTCCCCATGTGATTTAGTAAGTTCCAGTGATTTAGATTTTGTTGGAGAAATTTAGTTTTGTTTCTGGTCATGCAGTCTTGACACCCTCCCCATCCTCATTGCTTAGAGGAGGTAGTAGAGGCTCAAGGGCTGAGGGTCTTGCCCTGGACTTCCTCAGAATTTGCAGGGAAGGTGAACCTGGGTCCCAGTTGGCAGCGTGGAGGCCAGGTAAGATAAAGGAAGGAAAACAGATGGGGCCAGCTCTCAGCTTTGGCCTTGGATAATCCTGCCTATGACCAGCCCTGGGCATGCTTTAGGTCCTGAGTGCCCAGGTGCCATGGGTCCCCAGCTAAAGGAGGGATGTTAATAAGTTGCCTGAGAGCTTGGGCTCACCACAGAATGGTGAGAATGGACTCAACTCATCACCTGTGCACTATGAAGAGTGGGCCACAGGTGCCCTGTAAATATGTACTCTTAAGATCTCTTGGCCACAAGATCCAGGGCTTGGTGCTGAGGAAGTGGTACACCTCCTCTTCAGTGTCCGTTCATCCAGTGTATGCTGGGTGTCCACACTGTACTCAGCCCTCTGCCATCTGTCATGGGGAGATGGATGGCGCGTGATCCATCCCAGAAGAAACGGGAAGAGGGCATGATGGGATTCCTACGGCTAGGATGCCAGCCATTGTGCAGAGGGGATATCACCACTGCAAAGCATCTTGACATGACTCCCTTGTCACCTGAGAGGAGAACTTTGACTCTTCATTCTAAATCTCAGAATTTTGAGATGCCATAGTGGCAGCTATGTCTTGGGCCGAAGGTGGGGAGGCTGGGATTGGACTCAGGCGGTCAGCTCCAAAGCCTTCACTTCGGGAGAAAAGGCAAAGTTTGGAAGCCTCCACTACCTCATCAGCTCTTTCATGGATGGGACCTTCCCACCTCACCCCTAGCCATTTCACAGCAGGAGAAACTTCCCTAGTTTTCTCTGAGAACAATCAAGAGTGGGAAAAAAATAACCACCTCTTGCCTTGCCTGTCAACAACTGTGTTTCTTATGACCCGTAGGATCTTGTCCATCTTATGTAGTTCAGGTGTATTTGCCTGAATGTGAAATGGGAACATGAACATATCCAAGTTGAACCATGTGTATAGAGTATTTAGACACATAAGGCGACCCAGTGGATTCTGACTGGTATGTTCAATATTTGCATCCTTTCCTTTAAGCAGTGATCATCTCCTAACACTCTATAATTCACTTAATTATGAAGCTTAGTCTCTTTCTCCTTCCTGTGAGGATGGAAGCTCCTGAGGGCAAGGATTTGTATCTGGCTTATTCAAGGTATATTTCCAATGCCTGGAACAATACTTGGGCCAAATTCACCCCTTAGAAATGCCTCTCAAAGTGTGTCCAAGAAGCCCAAAGCATGGTGTGATTACATATGCCAGTGCTTCCTTTAGTGGGCAGATTTTCAGCTATTAGTGGAGAATTCTGTCCCTCCTTTCCTCTCTTCTTTTTTCTCTCTCTCCCGCCTTCCGTTTCCCTCCCTTCCCTTCCCTTTCCTCCTTTCCTTCCTCCCTCCCTTCTTCCTTCCTTCTTCTTTCTGGAGATGGAATCTGGGGCCTCATGTATGTTAAACTATCACTGAGCTTCAACCTGAATTGCCAACAATTTCCTAAATTGTTTTTGGGTTGATGGGGGAGGTAGAACACAGCCTTAAATGATTACTTGTGTTTACTCTTGTTAAAACTGTTTCCCTGATTGCTGGATTTGGCACTTGTGGAACTCGCATTGTAACCTAGATCCGGAGGTGTTGTCCGTAGTTCCGGCTGGCCTGAAGCCAAGAGCACCTGCCCCACCTCTCCTGAGGCTTGGACAACCCTAGCCTAGGAGGGGGGCTGAAAATAACAGGGAACAGTCCCTGTGCTTCAAGCCCAGGGGAGCCTGCACCCTTCTCTCAGAAGGGGCATGCAGTGGCAGGCTCCCCACAGTGGCAGCCCCCAAGTTGGCACTCCAAGTCCTGGGGAGTGTTGCTGCCCCGCCATGGCCAGCTGTACCCTAGAATAATACACTGTACCCTTGGAACTTCAGTGTCTTCATCTAAGGTGAGGATGGGCACCTTCACCACCTCACATGATAAAATAGTTGTGAGGCCAAGCAAGATGTCTCATCAGTGTCAGGACAGGGACATAGTTTTGGAGCCCAGTGCAAAATGAGAATGTGGAGTCCCTATTGAAAAAGTGTTAAGGATTTCAGGATGGTGACAGCAGAACATTAAGCCAGATATGGGTCCCTCGGAGCATGTGACCCTGTGTGACAGCAAAGGTCCTATGCCTTGTGACACTTGCCCTGCTTCAGTCCCCTCTGTGGCTTTCTGTATAGTCTCTGTTCAGGAATCCCAGAGCTCCTCAGGGCCTCAGAGTGAGCTTTCTGAAGTTGACCTGATTTTTTTCATGTCTTAGTTCCAGCCTTCAAATGGAATCAAGTCTCGATTTCTTAGTGCTCCATGTGGCCTCATCTGATGGGGTCCCCGTACACCTATACCCCCCTCCAGGCACCAGGCAACCATGAGAGATTCAGCATAGTTAGTATTCTACAGAGGGTAACAAACAGGAATGTCTGGATTTCAGTTCTGCCTCATTCCAGACGGAACTCCAGGAAGCTAACAATAACACACACTCTGCAGCAGGTTTCTAAAAATATAAACAAGGCTTAAAAATCAGATCAGAGGGGACATTTTATTTTAAAAGCCAGGATTTTGTGTTTATCCAGGATGTGCTAGTGCCAGGCACTGTTGCCACAAATCTCATCCAGCCATCCCGTCCCACCCACACGAGCCTGCTGAAGTGCCTCCGAGTGGACCATGTGGCCGGCCAGCAGAGGAGCTGGGGCTGGAGTGCTGCCATCAGGTTCCGGAGCTCCACTGTGTCCTGCCATCTGTCTCTGGAGCCCTTTCTCTTCCCTTCACTAAATTCAGAGAGATCTGAAGCCCCTCTTATTGGAGTCACTGGGCTCCTCTTCACTGATGCTTAGCCCATTGTGCTTATTATGAATTTAAAGTCATCTTCATTTCTCCTTCCTTCTTTTCTTTCTTTGTTGTGTGTGTGTGTGTTAACTAGCCTCATGTAGTCTGACACCTATTTCTGGAACTATCTATTGCTAAAGTCCCCCCATACCAATTTATAGCATCTCAGCCGGGAGTGTCCAGAGTTTTCCATGCTGACCACTGGGGGCCTGTGTTCACCTGCTTATCTGGACTTGGGGAAATCATTTCTTCCTATACAGTGGGAATTCCTGGCCTTGGTTCTCCAGTGGCTTGAGACAGGGCTTGGCTAGCTGTGACTTTGGTTGGGTTCCCTTCTAATGATCTTTTCCGATTGGATTTTGTAGTTGCTCTTACATGGTTTTTCTAAACACAGGAGAGTCAGGCAGAGGTTTGAGGAGGGTGTTACGGGTGAGACTTAACCTGGTACCTCTAAATCAGTGAGCCTGCCGCCAGGCATAATCCTGGAATTTGAGAGGTTGCGGATCACCATAACTTCAAGGTTAGC